AGGAGTTCCCAAACAGAAACGTCTGGAGTATGGAGTGGGATGAGGCGGCAGTTTTTCCAGTCTGATATTATATCAGACAGACCCTGAACACAAGAGGATAAGAACAGAGACATTTCTTTTTTTAGGAATTTTGGTCATGGCAGCAGGAAGGTGCCGTCCGGTTAATACGAGCTGTTCTCTGTTTTGAAACTGTAACGGGGCCTTGGTTGCACAGAGCTTGTGGGAGCCGACACTCCTGACGAGCTGAAAGCAGAGAGGAAGGCCAATTGCCTGTTCTCGTCTCAGTGTGACACTGTTCATGAAGTGCAATCGATTTTCCTTTGTGTTTGTGATACTGACCGATGCAACTGTCTCTACTGTAACATTACACTGCTATTCTGCAATCACCTTCACTATATAATGCAACTCGTTCAGGGGTATAAAGAGTTGAAAGTATTCTCTTACTGCCTGTTATATTTTAAAAGAGGAAATGAATCAGCTTTGTGGACTTTTTAGAGGAGCACTCTATAGGTTGCTTTTTCAATTAACTCTTTTATGAAGAGCATGGCTTCACAAAAAAGCATATTTTGTGTTTCTTGTAATTCTTTGAAGTGATCCCTTTCCTATTGAAGAGAGCTCTGGGATATGCTTTTCTGAAAGTAACCAAGAAGTATACGAGAAGGATCAGGCCTACATGAGCTCAATACATAATGAGTTGCTGGAACGGGAATTGAAAACGAATTAACTGTGATGAATGATCATGAAGCAGACAACTGCCAAACAAAAGCTGTATAATAATGAGTGAATCTTCCCCCTTTGCCCCATGCTTTGAAAAAGTATCAGATCCTGGAAATTTGATTTAGCCTACTGAGTAGCTACAGTATATCATCATCAGTCGTGACTCATCTATGACCAAATTGCCCCCTGAGGTGTACTCATTGTTAAAAGAGATACAGAAGTACTTTCCTAAAAAGAATATGTGCTCTTTTTAGGAAAAGAAAAATGCATGCAGTTTCTTTTTGTTCTGGTTTTCTGTTCTCTATTGCTTGTCTAATGGCAAGACCGAGCACCGACAGTGGAAGATCCCACTTCTGACACCAACATCCCATACTCTACCACCCGTATGTAGGTTTCTGCCTATGATTGCGGCCTTATTCCATCAGACACTGCCTGTTAGCCCTCTTCCTCACCGGGAGACACACTGCCAGTTTCAAGAACACATTAAAGCTTTCGTTTAGTTGGTGTCACAGACAAAAAAAAATATGGATGGTTTGGAAAAGGAAAAACAAATGTGTTAAAGCATTTTCATGTCTCATTGGTACTAGCGTTCAGTCTCTAGTTCACTACATCTTACATTTTTCTTTTTTTCTAACCAGTGGGTTTGATTGGCAAACGGAGGGGATGAAAAAACCAAGCACAACTGTGCCGTAGTATTTGAACAGAAAATGTGTCTATAGACGCCTTTCTTTATTTCCCTTGCCTATAAATGAGATCGTTCCTGTCCGCTTTCTGTGTGGAGAAGCGGATAGGATTCTGGGCTTTGACCCAAAGGATTGCAGGCTCATATCCCAGCTGGAGAGACACTGGTGCTGTATCACTGAGCACGGTGCCTCACTCTGTGTGCTCCAGCCTGCATCCAACCGCTACCAAAAGGTTACACCATAAAAAGAAAATAACCTCTGTAAGAGGCTTTGAGGAAAAGCCAGCCAAATACATCAGTCATCTGCTTTGTCCCGCTGACTAACATAAGGACATCAGAATGCTTTTCAGAATTAATCAACCAAGGAATGGGAAACAAATGATTTTCCTTATTATTTTAACCCGTCTTCTTCCAGAGCTTGCACTGCACATGCTCGGATCCAGAAAAGCACTGACCCCGCCTGTCAAACTCATCCGGCTGGTTTCCCTTCCCTCTGTGTATTTTGTTTGGCGGCTGTGGGTTCACTGTTTCAAGATCTCGCGCGTGGGGCGAGGAGAAGTGTTGTCTTGGCTTGCTGTCTTTAACGGCAGGGCCTTTCTCAGTGGCTCTGCAGGCTGTGGTAGCGCACAGGCCTTGCAGGGCTCTGGGAGGAGATACAGCACCGGGGTCGTTTCCAACAGACACGCGCCAGAAAGTGTCACTCGCACTGGGGGGGAGAAACCTGAGAAGATCTTCCTGTCAGAGAGGCGGAGGAGACTTTAGTGTTGAGGTATCTGACATACAGGCTGAAATTATGGCTTATAGTCTTATGGCTTCAAGTTCAGTGCATCTCTTTGGATTGGGCGGACTAAGCAAAGTGGCAATAGTTTGGCCAGAAGGCTTTCTTTGACAAAGGCCTCTGGAAACGTGTGGCACAATAAAGGATGAGGGGATGATCTTGCCCAGACCGATCTCATGGGCTCTCAAAGTTTCTTGGCAAGACTAGGCTGGGGCAACAGTTTCGAACTGCCCCTGATCTGCTGAGCAGTGAGGTTCCCGGTGCAGAACAGCTGCCCGGTGTCACCCAGGTGGGGCTCCACTGGAGTGGGGGGTTGAAGTGGGTCCCCTCCTACACGCAAAGCACTTTAAAGATCCTTTGGGATGAAAGGCGCTATATACATGGAATTCATTGAAAACAACAGCATTGTAAAGGTGTCAGCCACACAACTGAGTGAGTATAAGTTTTTGGTCTTGTTTCCAGCTCCAATATATTGAAGTAATTCACCCCTCCCCTAATTTTTTTTTTACCAAAAAAACCCACTGTTCATTTTGTAAACCCCTAATCAACATCTTCACATTATTCTGTAGCTGCTACAAAACAAAAAGTCTCTATTCCTTATAGAGGTAAAAAAAAAATCAAGAGAAATTCAAAAGCAATACGAATAACAACAATAATAATAATTATTACAACATTTAACAAAAAAATGAACATCTCAGTTTTGGCAACGTTTCCCATCCTGCAACGGGAAGAACAAATGGTGGGGAAAAAAGGAGTTCTAGAAAAAAAGAACAGTGAAACAAAAGTACACAAGGGTACTCCGTTTAGCCGCTAAGTTTCAGCTAAAGTACTTCTCCCGTCACAAAAACACAACACAACTCTTTCTTTTGGTTTCATTTCGCTTCACTTCGGTAAAAGAGCCACAGGAGTTCTGTAAATGTCAGGCTGTAGTGTGCTGGGTTAACCTTTAACACTCATTAGGGTTTAATTCAACTCTGAAGACAGCAGGGACAGGAATCCTCTGGAGACAAATTGGATTTTATTTTCTTTCCTCTTTTAGGCAGCTTCCCAATTTTTCATCTTCCCTATTTTGGTTATTTTCAAAATTCAGTCAGAGTGAGGCAGGACTGTCCAGTCTGTGTTCTCTCTGAATCCCATCTGTACTCCTATAAGCTCAATGGGTTGACGATGTTTAGCTAATCTAATTTAAGATCAATCACAATAGCCCGGAGCTCTGCTAAAACCATTCTGCACTCTCCACAGGCCCCAAGGTATTCATTGTTTTAGTAAATTAATCTGAATTTTGCATGGTTTAACCTATAGCTACTTTTGCATTCTGACATATCCATTTCCTGAAAGCAGATGCAGATGTTTTGGAAGAGGGAAGTTTAAACTGCCACGGAGAATTATGAATCTGTCTGTGGCGGTGTTTTTGTGGCTGCGATTTCCCTGCTGTGTTCAAGGTTTAAACAGCTGTCAGCAACCACAGAACACACACTCATACAGTGTGTGCTCTCTCTCAACGCACACACGCATTGCTGTGCTTTGGTCATGAGTAAGTGTCGAGGAAAAGTAAAGACTATGAATGTTAAAATATGCGAGAAGTATTTGGTCATTTTCTGGCAGCTTTTTTTTTTTGGCAAATTTCAGCTCTACCTTTAGAAAGAGAAAGTAATCCATAGAAGAACACTTTGTAACGTCATAGAAAATCTCCTTGAAAATATATCCCATTTTCAAATTCTACTCTTCTCTTAAAAGTTAAACGTAGTTTAAGAAAGAAAACGCTCCGTCATTCCATGTCTTAAAAGCGAGAATGTGAACAAAATGCCGTCGGAAATATGTTATTATCACTCTTAATTTTCTTTCATAACTTTTGACAGGAAAATATATTTTTATATATATTGGCTTTGGCACATAAACAGCACGTTACATATCCCCGTGCTTTTTATTCGGCTGTGTAATAACGGCAACCTTTCAAGACAGGAAGTGGAATATGGATTTCTAGAAAAAGGAAAAAAATATCTTTTAAAATATGGCAGAAATAGTTGAAAAAGGAAAGCCATTTAAATTCTACATCTTTGGATATAATTCAGCTTGGTTTCCATACAAAATATTTGGGTAGGGTCACAGACTGGGATCCTTCCACGGGAGCAGTGACGCAGCCACCCGCCATTGCCGCGTACTCACGGCAACAAGGGGTTCCCACGGCGACGGGGAGGCGCCCACCAATCGGCTCGGCTTGGGGTCATGGCGGGGGCGGAGCCTCCTTCCCTTTTCGTATAAAAGCCCCGCGACTCCATCGTCCAAGGTGAGGAAAATCAAACCTTCTTCACGGTGGAAGAACGTCATCGTTCTCCCATTTTCACATTTTCATCCTCTCCTTTTTTTTTTTTCCTGTCGGGGGGAGGGGGGTGCGTAAAGACCGTTCTGAAAGGGCCCGAACACATTAAAGCTTAAATTTCCTCAGGTCCAACATTTCAAAACGAGCCTTCGTGACGAATCGGCAGGTTTGAGCTGGCTCAGGCTGGGTGGGCTGGCCCGCACGAAGCCGGCTCACAAAAGGACACACTGCGGGTGACGCAGGATGCAGCTCTTGATGAGCACAGGTGTATGTCTATATATAGCTTCGTCTGCATCCGTTTTCTCTCTCCCTCTCTCTGGTCAGAAGGGGGGCGCCGTGTCTGCGATGATGGTGGGTAAGGGTGTCACGGCAGCAGGGGAAAGACTCTGGCAGGAAAGCCATCCCTGGGGTTTTTAGCCTAAACTGAGCTCTGTCACTGACCACATGGAATAATAAATGACAGTGACGGGGGGGGGCAACATATCTAGCAGCAGAGAAATCAATCTGAATTCATGGGGCACCCTTTTCAGTTTGGGGGCTCAAGTACCCTGCCTCCTGCTTCTCATCCGTGAGCGGAAGTGAGTCCACTCCTCGCGTTGCCAAAGGGCATCGTCAGCAGGATGGAAATCGCGGGGCTTGAAAATCCGCTGTTGAGCACCGATGCGGGTTCTGATCAGCCCCAGGTGCTGAAGGGACGGAGCGGACTGGCGGTTCCCCTGGTCACTCCGGAGGTCAAGGCAAGGAGAGAGGGGCTCTGGTCCAGGGCGATGCAGTCGGGCGGGACTCCGAGGCCGCTGGCAGGCTGGCGCGGGACACTGGCGTTGGCACACGGTGGGGGGTGGGGTGGTAATGGCCTCAGGAAAAGGACTATGGGTGGTTGAGGTAGTTTTCCCTGCAGGGGTTTCGTTCCCCGAAATCGCCCGCAAGGAGCCCTGAAACTGCTTTGGCTTGGACATTCTCGTCGAGGTGAGGTAGCTCTCTTTGGGTGAGGTAAAAGTTTGTTTTGGGGGAGGTGGGGGGGCGGGGGGGTATAGGCGTGTCCTGCGGTTCCTCCAAAATACCTGCCCCAAGGCTAGCGTGGCGAGAGACAGAATTTCCCAAACTAGGCCGAATAACAAATGGCTAAGGCTGCAGGCGGCATTTTTCCTGTGAAAGCGCTTCCGCTTGTGGCGCAGGAAGCGCTGGCCTGCGCTGTTGACGCCTTAGATGGCAGTAAGGACTGGGGCGAACTCCGAGCGTTTCGCAGTGCGCGCCTGGGAAATACACAGACGCCAATCTGGTCCTAAGGCGATCATTCAGGATCTGTATAGAAATATATAGCCACTAGTCTATAATAAGGCTTTGTGTTTTGGAGTGGGGCTCAGACATAAGGAAGACATCGGTTCTTTTTCTCCCCCATGCAGGCGCTACTGCAGGGGGCATCGGTGACCCCTCTGCATCGGGGGCGGAAGAGTAAGGCGATCCCCAGCAGCAGCAGCATGGCCAGGGCTGGGGGAGGGGGGGAACCGCAGCAGGCTGTGTGGGAGAGGAGGGTGGGGAGTTGGAGGCTGGCACCGTGTGCTAGCCAGTGCCCGCTCCTGTGCTGGCGCCAGTCTGGCCGGCCTGGTGCTGCTCGATGAGGACCTGGCACTGAGACGGCCCTCCCCCCGGCACCTGCGGGGAACAGTCCCGGTTCTGCTGGGGGGCACAAAGAGGGCAGGTGTTAGCCGTGAAGTGGGGGAGGGGGACACACATATACTGTATAGTTCAGGTGGGGAGCTGCATCAGCATGCGTAGGCTGCAAAGGAACAAGTAATGGGTTTATTCCCTGCTGAAAAGAGAAGAAAGAAAACAACGTTTCGGCTGTGGAGCTTCTTCAGCTGTGAGAAAGACAGGGCGGTCATGTAGGGGGAGAACAAAGGCTGGGAGAGAGGAGGAGCGAGAGGCGGGAGCAGGGGACAGAAAGGGAGGCCAATCAGGAGGTGTGAAGTCAGGATAGGTGATGTGAAGAGAGGTGTTAAATGACACCTACAATGAATAGAGAGAATTTATTTATTAATTTGAGAGAAGGGGGAAGGTTTGATCCCAGCTGCAGGATCATTTTAGTTTCTGTTGTCTTTCTGATGTATGAGTTAGGAAAACCATCTTTGCACTCAAAGATGGTTTTCCTAACCATAGTGTCCCTCTCACGCTACATTACCTTTGCTTTCTGCCCTGTCTTTCTCATACCTGAAGAAGGCCGAAACGTTGTGTTTTCTTTCTTCTCTTTTCAGCAGGGAATAAACCCATTACTTGTTCCTCTACTGTATATACTGCTCCTATTCAGCACTGCAGTATTCCAACTGAACCACATTGTGGAAGGTTTAATTTAGCCTGTGACAAAAGGTATAATAAGGCAGAATAAAGGTGATTTGCTTTAACAGCTGCAGCAACTAAATCCTTCTACTTGATGTTAAGAGTAAAAGTAATCACATCCAAGGACATGACTGACTCTCAAAGTGTAAAACCAACTTTTGTCACGCGCTGAAGGACACGACAAAAACTCACAAACAGGACGGCCGTTTCAGAGTGTGAAAGAAAGGTCTTTCTGAGCCTGTGTGCTGTATCTAAGAGCTGTATGGGAGAGCCTTGCAGTGGCTGTAAGCACAGAATCTGCACAAGACTGTGTCCTGCTCCTCTGGTGAAGGATTTCCCACAAGGGCAGGACCCCAGGCAGGGCGACAGCAGGCACAGCAAGAGACAGGAGACTTCGTGCCCCTCAGTGGAGCTTCACCCTACCTGAGGCACTAGTTCGATGGCTTCAGTGTTGCAGGTGACCCCTTCCTTGTGCATGCTGCTCTGCTGGGCCAGGGGTCCCTCTCCGTCTGCCCCCCGGGGGACCGACCAGCTGTCCTGGGTCCCCTTTCGGCAGAACAGGCTGTGGGAGAACAGACGCCAGTCAGTGCCCGCCTTATCCATAGCTGTGTGATTCAAGAGAGAACTCTGCCCTCCTGCTCTCCTCTGATCCCCGACAGAGCTGAGCTGCCTGGGGGTGAGGGGTTGTGAAGCTGGCACCGGGGAGAACCTGTGTGGGGCTGGTAGCCAGGGTAGTTGGGTACTACAGCAGGACACAACTAGCCCCATCCTTGTCCTGGAAATGGGGATCCCTGCTCTGTGTAAGTCCATGTTGTTTTAAGACCCCAATTTTTCTTATCTACCCCTCCAATCTGGAGCTGCCAACAGGTTTAAGACTCAGCTGCCTGGCACTGATTGCTGTGTGGATCATGCCCACCTTTCTGAGCCAGCTGCAGGCCCAGCAGTGCCCTCTCTCTGGTGCCAGAGCGAGCCCGCGGGTGCCCAGGAAATCAGGACATTTCGGGACTCTCACTGGCAACCAAGATGATCCCGGCCAACTCAAGCCCATCCTACCCCTAGAGGGTGCCGTGAGGGCTCTGCACCACTGCCTGGGGCTCCCAGGTCAGAGGCAGCATCGACACAGCCCAGGCCTGAGGAAACCAAGCCAGATCACAATCTGCACTGCACTGATGGTCAGCTGGGGAACCAGCTGGGCTCTGTTCAGGGGCCAGAGACTGTTTCGTTCCTTTCTGTCGCAGGTGCAGCAGCAGTCTCTTCCAGAAGAGAACCAGAGACCTCAGGGACTGAGCAACAAAATGCGCTGACCTGCGCCATTCATCACTTTAATGGGATTTTTATATCACATGGTGAAAATCAATTATTTTTGAGTCTGCACTCAATAAACTACCATTATTTTTTACCTCCCGCCACCCATTAAAATCCTTGTATCAGTTGCAAGTTGTATCCGTGACCCTCTTTCTTGATGGCATTACAGAAACGTGTTAATGATGTGATGTCACCCAGTCAGTTATGGGAGTTTATAACCCAGCATATAAAAGCAAAGGGCCAGGAGCTCACAATTATATACTGAATCACTGGGAAATAAAAAGTGGGACTCCCGATCCACAACTACGTGTTCCGTTTCAGGTTTCGTGAGTTGCACGATCATGTACAATAGTCTATTGCCTTGGTTTTGTTCACTTACATCAGTACCATCAGATCTGCAGCTTGGAAAACATGAAACGGAACCCGAATCTCTTTTTCCCTTACCTGGATCGGACCGCTTGTGCCACAGAGCAGTGTTTAGATTGATTACAGACCCAAATATATCAATTCACGAAATGATCTTGGATCTTTGAGGGTTCTGCCTGACCTCCGAAACACACAGGCCTGCGTGTGTACAAATTTCAGCACTGTGATCATTTCTGCTCAGGACTGAAGGATGAAAACACGCAGATGTTATCAGACATCACCCGTTTCTTCCCTGTGCAGTTCCAATTAAATCTGGATTTATATATTTACTTTTTAAATCCACTCTTATCTCCCTTCTGCTTCCTGTCTGCATACATTTTCTATCTTATAAAAAAAATATCCTGTGTAAATCTAGCATAGGCATGCTCCTGAGCATGGCCGACAGTGACTGGCATGCCACTGCCACTAACTGGGCTTCGTTGCCCACTGTGGGAGAGCTGCCCACCGGGTGGCGTGTGAAGGAGATGAGGGTGAGCCCTGCGTGGGCAGCCTTGTGTCCTGTGCTCACCTGCGGCGGTACCCGAACATGAGGAAGAGCACGCAGAAGATGATGCAGGCCATGGCGATGTGGATGCCCACCACGATGCCCGCCATGGAGCCCTCGCTCTCCTGCCGGCAGTTGCACGCCGTCTCGCCACCTGCGGAGAGCGAACCGCGCCCATCAGGCCCGCACGCAAGCACCGTCCTTAATCCGGACCCCAGTCAAGGGCCGGTTGATGCCCCCCCGCTTCACAAAGACCCCATGCCCCCATGTTTCTCTTTGCAAACAATTCCCCCTGCAGACCCCCTAAGGAAGGTGAACCCACCGTCATTGAGGAGCAGATTCCTGTGGATTATAATGGGACTTTTCAATTAGCCAATCAGGACCTAAAACGACAATTGACTTGCCAAGCACATAC